CTGACCTGTTGTTCTCTTCTCAGGAATCCCATCTGGGAGCTACTGGCCTTCCAGAAGCTTACTGATCATACATAAAGGCTTCCCTGTTCCTTTAATGGATGTATTTGTGGCTTGGCTTGAAGAATTCAAGAGGAATTGCTTTGTTTCAAAATAAAATGAAAATGTTCTTTTTTTAGAAAAAAATTCTAAGTGGTGAAACTGCCTTATCATCTCTACATTTAACTTTCATCTAAATTCATCTCTCATGTGACTAGAATTTACCAGTCCTCAGAATTTTAATTCTGTGTCCTCTGCAGAATATTCAGGAAAGAAATATTCTAAGGGTTTTCAACATAGCTATACTGATTAATACTATGATAGTAACACAATGAGTAACACTATGATAGTTTCTTCATCATCAGGGGAAGGTTTTTGATGTCATATCCTATAATGAAATCAGCATAGTGGAATCCAGAGGTTGAACCTATCATCGTCCTTGTATTTATTTCAGAAAAAAACCTTTAAATGAGAGATAGCAGAGTGTCTGGTAAAAGAGTATGAGCTTTGAGTTTTGTCAGAGCTCTAGACATGGATGGCTGTGTATTTTAGACAAGTTCTGTAGCCCCTTTGAACCTCAGTGAAATATGTTAATCACACCTCACCCATAGCATGGTTATGGGTAATATGAATATGTAAAGCACCAAGTGCCTTGCAGGCACATAATAGGTATCCTATAAATGTAAGTGATCTCCCTCTTTCTACTCAGTCTGAAAGACCTTTCCAAGGTTTCTTTCATCCCTCAGAGCATGTGTTTGATCTGGATGCTTCAGGAAGGCCATTGAAATGAAAATGAGTGCTTTTTAAGTATAATTTGTAGTCTTTGCCTAAACTAATCACAATAGGGCTTGAGTCCTTGAATCAGAGTATCAATATATCTTCCAGCTTCTGGGCAAAACACTTCCCTACTTCTGATGGGCATTAGCTGGAAATTAAGGGTCAGAAGTTACCCAAAGAACAATAGTGTTTACCTAGGGTGGAGTGAATAATGCCTTCCTTCCTTCCCTCCCTCCCTCCCTTCCTTCCCTCCCTCCCTCCCACCTTTCTTCCCTCCCTCCTTCCTCTCTCCCTCCTTCCCTCCCTCCCTTCTTCCTTCCTGCCTTCCTTCCTTTCTTCCCTCCTTTGTTCCTTTGTTTTCTAGTGGAGTGAATAATTCTCCCCTCCCTCCCTTCTTTCCTTTCTTTTTTCTTGAGACTGAGTCTCACTCTATTGCCCAGGCTGGAGTGCAGTGGTGCAATCTCCATTCAAGGCAACCTCTGCCTCCCAAGTTCAAGTGATTCTCATGCCTGGGCCTCCCTCATAGCTTGGATTATAGGCTCATGCCACTGTGCCTGGCTAATTTTTGTATTTTTAGTAGAGATGGGGTTTCACCATGTTGGCCAGGCTGGTTTCAAACTCCTGTCCTCCAGTGATCTGCCTGCCTCAGCTTCCTGAAGTGCTGGGAGATTACAGGCATGAGCCACCGAGCCTGACCCATTTCTTTCTTAAACAATTCATTTAAAACTGGGCATGGTGGTGCATGCCTGTAGTCCCAGCCACACAGGAAGCTGAGGCAGAAAGATTGATTGGGCCCAGGAGTTAGGAGCCAGCCTGGGCAACATAGCAGGATCCCATCTCAAAGAACAAAGAAACAAAACAAACCAATTCATTTGGTTTCCTTTGTATATCAACCGATAACCTGAGGTAGCACAGCAGAGTAACAAGGTGAGCTTGGAGTCAGACAGAACTGCCATTTTACTAGCTGGGGGACCATGGGGCTTTCTGAGCCTCAGCTTCTCTATCAACAAAAATAGGGGGAATAATACCTGTCATACTATGAGAATGAGGATAAAGAAAGCATGAAAACCCTAGCACTGTGCCTGGTGCATGGAAAGTGCTTAGTAAGTACTGCTTCTATCCTGGACTCTCTTGTAGACTCTCGTATCTTACCTGGTTTAGGAGGAGGAATGTGGCAGCTAAGTAAATCTATGTCTATGTTCTTATTACTGATAAATATAACGTGGAAAAATGTCATAAATGAAGTGTAAACCATTTACAAATACAGAATAATTTTCCTTGAAATGATCAACAATGGCTCTGAAAGAGGCTACTCTGTAATACATATGGAGGCATTTTAAAGTCCAGCGACACAAAGGCGGTATATTAAAGCCCAGCAACACAAAGAGGGTGTGGTGATCTTTCTTAAATTTAGTGCCTTCAACTATCCGAAAAACCATTGTGCAAGTAAAGACACTGTAACAACAAGTAACAGGTAGGAACAAAGTTATAGAATACGAGTTTCTCAAATTTTCATCATTAGGGCTCTTTTTAATATTTTTAATACTTACAGATTTCCTTAGCAGTTTTTTAGCCCTTCCTCTTCTTGTACCATAACATTTGTGCTAATTTCTATTGTATCATACATACTGCCTTGTAACTGACATACCTCAAAAGCATGAATCACATTTTACTCCTCTTATAACTTCCGCACTCCATAGTGGGCTCTCAAGCAGTATTTGCTGAGCTGAGAGCAAGCATTTTTTTTATATATGATGACTGTGTGACAATTTGAATAGATTTATCTTTGTATATCGGCTATATAATAATATATAATATGTACTGAACATTTACTATGTTCAGACATCACAGGGTTTTTCAGTTAGCAGTGAATTTATTCTCACAATAAATCCTAAGTGTGTATCGTTATTGTCTCATTTTACTGATAAGTAAAATGAGATTAGGAGGGGCTAAGAGCACACAGCTGCTTCATTGAAGACCCGGGATTCAAACCCAGGCACTTAAACGTGAGAACCCATGTCTTTACCAATTACAATAAACTGCTTTTACTACAAACTATATATTGTTTACCTGTTATTGTTGCCATTAAGCAGATACATTTTGTTTTCTCTAAAGAGAGTATGCTTAGTGAAAAGAGCCAACAGATTTGGGAATCAGGCTGATGTGAGGTAAAACCTTGATTCAGTCACTGATAGCTGAGTGTCAGAAAACCGCTTGTTACCGAGTATCAGTTTTCCTATCCCTAAAATGGGGATGATAGAAGCTGGATATGAAGATTGAATGAGGTGACAGAGGCAAGGTGTCTCGCATAGGATCTGGCACATATTAGCCACTCACATCAATATTACATTAGGAACTGAGGCTACTGCCCTTGACCAGAGTCTAAAGCCAGCTTTAGTTGTTTTGCACTGATATTTCCTTCTCTCTTGTTAAGTAGATAAGCCCCTCTTTCCTTCAGGTCTCATGGTCTTACATGCCGTCTGTATCCTGACATTTCCTTCATATCCATCTTACCCCAAACCCAGACTTGAACTTCAGTCTTTACCTCCTCAGTGTCTCTTTTTGGATTTCTAAAGGCATCTCAAACTCAGCATGAAGAAAAACTGACTCCAGCTCCCACTAACCTTACTCCTCCTGTAACTGTCTCCATCTCAGCAAAAGGCAATTCCATGGAGAAGCTCTGGAGTCATTCTTGATTCCTTCCATCTTTTATATGCCACATCGGATCCATCAGTGATTCCTCTTGTCTCCAATTTCAACGTTTTCCCAAAACCTGCCCCCATATCCTCTGTCTCCACGCCTCCTCCTGTCAAGGCCCACTTTTTCTCTCCCCTGTGTTCCTGCAGTAGCTTCCCAACTGATCTCCTGCTTTTGCTCTTGCATCCTTCACACAGGCTAGTCTCAACCCAGCAGCCCAGGGGAGCCTTCAAACACATAAGTCAGGTTATGTCCCCTCTTCTGCTCAAAATACTCTCATGCTTTCCCAACTCATTCAGGGTCAAAGCTTAGGTCCTACAATAGCCTACAGAGCCTTACATGACTGGGTTCTGTTACTTTCCCCACCCAGCCTTCTCTCCCTCTTGCTTGTTCCGCCTCAGTGGCTCCTTGCTTCTCTGTGGATATGCTATGCCTACTCCCTCCTTAGGGTCCCTCGCATCTCCCCATGCCCAGATGAGTAAGCACTTGGCACACAGTAGGTACTCAACACATATTCTGAATAAATGGCTTGAATAATCATCTAGTTAAACACTGAGCTCACTGACCATTGCTCTTATTTGCCCACCCTACTACCCTGTTGCTTTTGCTGTGACTTTCCCAGCAGTGACATCCTGACTCTCCCACTATGTCTGGGAAACTCGGCATTATCTATGCTATCTCTGAGAACTAGGATCAGGAAGATGAATCAGTGCCAAAATAGTTCCAAACTCCAGGCTTCATCAACATTTTCTTTTTCTTTCTTTCTTTTTTTTTTGGTAGAGATGGAGTCTTGCTATGTTGCCTGGGCTGGTCTTGAACCCCGGGGCTCAAGTGATCATCCTGCCTTGGCCTCCCAAAGTGTTGGGATTACAGGCATGAGCCACCATGCTTGGCTCATTTTCATAATTTTCTCTAAACATTTTCTAGAAAAAGGAACAAACTGACTCAGGAATTCCATTTTCTTTCTAGACACCTATACACTTCTGCAGTATTAACAGATGTAGCAAAGGACCCAGTTTACCCACAGGTTACCCTGGATGACCAAGTAACGGTTGTAGATGCATTCTGCCTTGTGGTTATTCTTAAGGCATACAGAAACAATTTTTCTTTCTGCTTCCAATATTTCTTCTTTTTTTTTTTTTTGGCTAAAAAGGTCCATTTGGACACAGACTATTCTGGGTAACATCTTTTTCTATAAAAATCAATGTGATATACTGTCTCAACTGTGTCTCTGGAAGGCTGGGTCCCTCTTAAATCCACTAGTGCAAAGGCTGCAGGTATAAAGGCAGTTGACTTCTTAAGAGTGTGCTTTGGTAACTTACGAGGTGTTTTATGTAGAAACAGCAAAGTTTACCCTAAAAACAGTTTGAGATCAAATAAATACTATCCATTTCCTTTGCCCCCCTTACAGGATTCTCCTAAATGAAGATGGGTTGGATAGGGATCTTTAAAGGTGATTAGATACATTAGGGAAAATAACTTCTATTTACCGCAAGCTGGGATGTCACACAGATCAAATTTGAAGTTTTCATCCAAGGTGAAGCACCAGGGAGCTTCCTTCTGATTCCCTGGGTTGCGGCAGTAGGAATGGCCTCCATTCAGCTCTGGGAAACGAAGGGCAGTGAAGGTGTGTGTGTGGGGGTACTGGGAATTCCACGGCTGGCACTGGCGCCCTGATTTGGTGACACTGACAGTCCCCCGGTAGTCCACACCTGTGCTGTTGTAACACTTGTGATCTGAAAAACACACAAAAGCACAATTACAAAGAAACACAGGAGATGCTGGAGCTCTCCTCTAGCCAGCTGTTTCTGGAGGGGAGGGCAGGTAATTAACTTCGTGGCCACAGCTTCCTTGCTGGTCAGAGGCCATGCAGGGCAGTCTCCCTGCTTTGCTGGGCTTGGACCCAGGGCCTGCCTTGCAGTTACATTTCTGGGAGGATTTAAAGCTTATGCTTCAGGAATAAAATCAGTCTTCCAAAAGTATTTTTAACATTGAACACAGAAGAAATCAGAACTGGGGTGGGACCTGGGGGCACAGAAGTAATTTCCTAGTGAATGGTTCAAGGAAGGTTCAAGTCCAACTTTTTCTTCCATTCTGATTGACAGCCTTAGACATGATCATATAATAAAGAATCTAGTTGGTATTGTAGTTCACAGAACATGCTTTTTAGAGGCTGTGCATTCTGGGTTTCTAACAAAAGTGAGGGCTATCGCTTTGCTGGGCACCCTTGAGAACCAGATCCCATTACGTAGCCCTCCAGGTGGTCACAGGGGCTTAAAAGCACTGCAAAATCTGGAGAGTTGAACTGAATTAGAGCTTGGAAGGGTGATGACGACAGTAATAACGACACTACTGAGCCCTTACCATGGCTAAGCATTTTAGAAGCATTAGTTTTAACTCTTAAAACAGCATTAATGACCAAAAGGAAACTAAAAAATTGCCAGTAAGATTAATTCTAGATGAAAGGGAAGTGTACACGGAAACAGTCTTTCGCTTGGTGGTGATGAGGGGTTAGGGGATGGAGGCAAACCCATATATACCTTTAAATAGTGGTAGAATATGGTTTGGCTCTGTGTCCCCACCAAAATCTCACGTTGGATTATAATCCTCAATGTTCGAGGGGGTCCTGGTGGGAGGTAATTGGATGATGGGAGCAGGTTTCTTGTGAATGGTTTTGCACCAACCCCCTTTGGTCCTGTCCTTGGGATAGTGAATGAGTTCTTATTCTCATGGACATTTAAAAGTGTGTGGTACCTCCCCACCCACTCTCTGTTGTTCCTGCTCCTGCCATGTAAGAAGCTTGCTCTCCCTTCACCTTCTGCCATATTAGACGCTTCCTGAGGTCTCCTCAGAAGCAGAAGCCACTATACTCCCTGTATAGCCTGAAGAACCTCACATGTGCCAATTAAACCTTTTTTCTTAATAAATAACCCAGTCTCAGGTGTTTCTTTATAGCAATGTGAGAATGCACTGACACTTGGTATCACGCCATATTACCACTTACCATAATATGTACCATTAGTGCATCTAGTGCATTCACAATATTGTACAACCTTCACTACTACAGTTTCTAGAACACTTATGTTACCCTAAAAGGAAACCTCATAGCTAGTAAACAGTCAATCTCCACTACCACTAGCTTGGCCTCTGGTAACCACTAATCTGCCTTTCTGTCTGTATGGATTTATCTATTCTGGAAATTTCATATAAATGGTTCATAACAATGGTGTCTGGCTTCTTTTACTTAGTATGACGTTTTCCAGGTTCATCCAGGTTTGCAGTATGCATCTGTATTTCATTCCTTTTTATGGATAAATAATGTTTTACTGTGTAGATATACCACAATTTGTTTAACCCTCCTCTATTGATGAATATTTGGGTCATTTCCACCTTTGGCTATTGTCAATAGTGTTGTTATGAACATTCTTGTATGAGTTTTTGTTCGAACATCTGTTTTCAGCTGTTTTAATTACATACTCAGGAGTAGAATTGCTAGGTCATATGGTAATTCTATCTTTAAGTTATTGAGAAACCAGCTCTCATGTTTTAAAATTATTATCCTCATGAAGCTTCTTGAAGATAACTATGTCAAATCCACTATTGAATGCTCAGACACAGTACTCAGCCTCGTGGAAAATAATTTGATTAATAGTATGAAAATCACTACAGGTCAAGGTCCAGTTTTCCCTGTGACATGAGGTTGCTGATTCTTAGAACAGCACAGAAGGTCAGGGGCTACCACTTACTTTTATTTATAGGATCTGCCATGGGAATTCCAATCCGGATACAGTTTGCAGCTTCTGGGCTCTCTGGCTGAGGGAGATCTTCACAGTTTGGCAATTTCAGCCTCATCAGAATCATGGGATTTGATCTCGCAAAAATGTACTCTGTTTGACACAGGACATTTTCCAGGATTTCACATTCATCACGACACAAGTCACGGGGCTTGGGGACGGATGAAGTTTCATCACAGTATGGGAAGGCATAGTGGCACAGGGAAGGAATGGCGAACTGAGAACACTTATCAGATAAGTGACTGGAAGTGCCAATCATAGTGAATGCAGCTGGAAAACAAACACAATTATTAACTCCCAGAGGCTAGGGTTTATCTTCTCTGGTTATCTAGTCAACAGATATCAGATATAAACACACATTACGAGGAATCCACTGTGTTGAAACAGACAAGGCCCAGAGAAGGAGATTCATTTCAGATGTCTAAGCAGCTTACTTTCACTGGCTTGAAAAAAACCATTTTGACTACAAAGTTAAAAAAACAGGATTAAATTACACATGTACCATTTCCTAATAAAAAAATTAATTAGGTTAAAGTACAATATATTTTTCATTTTTTACTATAAAGCAATAGAACTTTGTGTTTCATCTGGTGCTTTTTATTAGTTTTGTGAGGCTTCTAAAACATTGGACAGCTGTAGGGCAGAACTTGTTTCTGGAGCAGCTGAGCCTGAGCACAGGACCTAGTTCTGTGTCTTGCTCGATGGCAAGAGTTGCTGGATGACTTAGGGTAACTTGCTTATTTTCTTTGTGGCTTGAATACTTTCTACCCCATGTTCTGAAAATGAGGCAACTCATTTGGATGTTCTCAAAGAGCACAGTGCAATTGTTCCAGTGTGTATCATCGAATATTTGTGGTTCCTTAGCTTAATCTTTTACCCAGTAAGGTAAGAGGCACAAAAAGTGCACAGGCCTACCTTTGAATACCGCTATTGACAAGGAGCTTACACGTCACAAGGCAGCCTATGAGGTTGCTGATACATTATTTCCCAAAGTATGTTCCTCAGAACATTAATCTGTGGAACAGAATAGTGCTTGAGAAACAAGCCAACAAGTTTGGGAAATGCTGGGATAAACAAAGGTAATGAATTAAAAAAAAAAAACTGTAATACTTTCCACTGGGCTGATACCATTAGAAATCTCCAAGAGAGGATTTTTATAAATAAGTTACTAATTATTTACATCAAAACTTCCACTTTTTTTTTTTTGAGACAGTCTCACTCTGTCACCCAGGCTGGAGTACAGGGGTGTGCTCTTGGCTCAGTGTAACTTCTGCTTCCCTGGTTCAAGCAATTCTCATGCCTCAGCCTCCCAAGTAGCTGGGACTGCAGGCATGTGCCCCCATGCCCAGCTAATTTTTGTATTTCTTTTTAAAGTAGAGTTGGGGTTTTGCTATGTTGGCCAGGCTGGTCTTGAACTCCTGGCCTCAAGTGATCCGCCTGCCTCAGCCTCCCAGAATGCGAGGATTACAGCAGTGAACCACTGTGCCCAGCCCAAAACTTCTAGTTTTTGTGGATATTCAGTTAAAAGTACGTTAAGCCATTCTTATACTAGGTTGAAACAGTGTTCAATAGCTCCTCCCTGTCAGTCCTACTGCTCTTTGAAATTTCAGAGTTCTCTTCCTGTTGAAATGAGGGCTTCAGAAAATGGCAATTACCTATTCCTATAGCTGCTTCTTTTGTTTTTTCAAAAAGCACGCCCCAACCCTTGCCGGCTTCCTCTCAGTTCCTTCTCATTCCTCATAGCACATAGCTTCTGGACCTTTTGCTATTCTATGTTTCTGCCTTGGGTTTGTTCTTACCTCTCCTAAACCCTAGAGTTGCCAGAACAAGACAATGGTTACATGTTATTTTCAGATAAATATTTAGGACACACTCATACTAAAAAATTATTTGTTGTTTATCTGAAATTCAAATGTAATTGGTTCCTGAAGTTTTATTTGCTAGATATGGCATCCTTATTAGAATCTCACGAAGGCAATTTGAATGGATTGCAAAGGATACAGTACACAGAGGCATCATAACTACACTAATGGAAGGGGATAAAGCTACCGTAACCACCAGAATGATGCATGCAAAATCCTACAAGGTAGCCTATGCTATACTTTAACTCATGTGTGCTAGCAAGTGCTTCACTACTAGATTTCTATCAAAAGGGTATTTTCAATGAAGAAAAATGAAGGGTGAAATATTGAAAGCCAGAGTAAGAAGAGACCTATGGTCATCCTGCCTCATCACTCATTTCACAGATGAAGGGGACTTTTTGGAAAAGTAAGCGATTTCCCCAAAGTCGCTGTCATGATAGTTCTGGCATGAGTGTCCAGAATTCTAAACTCTAAATTCATCCCCTCTCAGTCGACATCATGTTGCTTCTAAACAGTAAGCACTGTGAGGGCAGAGACATAACTGGCTTATTCACCACACCATTGTATCTCCCTATGCCCAGTTCAGTTCCTGGTATGCTGAAAGCACTCAATAATATTTATTGAGTGTTTCAATGAATGTGAGATTTTGCAAAGCTTCCTTTTCCTCTAAGAGCAACCTTCAATAAATTACTTTAATGTAAATTCCAGAGCACAGAGATCATGTCTCATGCTTTTTTATGGTCCTGCTCCCAACCCCTTGCAGAGCTTAATCCTTTGTCAAGAGAGGAGCTTAATAAAACTTTTGGTGAGAAAAACAGTTATTCAAGGGACAAATATAATTTCATTGGTGCTACCTACCTGTGATCTGATTTTCTATTTCCCCTTGCATGTGCAAAGATTCCATATAGACGGTGCGATTGCCAATAAATCTTGCACATGCAATCCCTCTGTATGGCTGACAGAATCCATCTTCTTCATACTCATCTCTGAAACAAAGCATAGACATTAGCTGATGCACCATGTGCATGGAGGGCACAGCAAGCTCTGACTGCACGATACCCTAAATGATCACTAGGGGGCACAGTTGGGCGTAATATACAAAAGACTGGACTAAGAAATTGGGCTTTTGCTCAGTTCTTAAAACATCTGTTGGTCACATTGGTCAAGTTTCCTACACTCCCAGAAAAATCATCCTGAAGCATAAAATCATCCTTAAATATGAGAGAAAATGCTTTTATTTTCGCAGCTGGTAGAGGGCTGGAAGATGATGTAGTTATTGGAGTAAGGAGGAAATGAGTTGGAAATCTGGGCACATGTTCTACAGTTTTTTGTTTTTTAAGCACAGATTATTTCTGCTTCATTTGCTACAAAGGCGTGGGCGAATTAGCCACCAGATCCACTCCAACTGACATGACAATTAGGGGGATCCATGGGGTGAGAAGCTGGGTGCAGTTGGAAAGAAATCCAAGGGCAGCCCAGTTATGTGGCTCTTCACTGCTTAAGCCCCATTATCTCCACCCCACTCAAAGAGGGTCAGGGCAAACCATGGCCTGCAGAGTTTGAATTGAGTCACTGGATCCAAGGAAATCTAGAGAAGAGATCCATGGAAATTTTGTTTTCATGCTTCCCTAAAATTTTTAAAAGGTCTTATTAAAATTTTGCTGCCTAAAAATTACAATATTTTTATAAAAAGGAGGGGTAGTAGATTTCATCTGGAAGACAGAGGGACACCAGAAATGACATGATTCGTGTGCCAGGTTAAAGGACTGGAGATCTAAGGCTGGAGATGAAGACCCAAGATGGCAGGCTCAGCTGGAAAGGGCAGAGGCTACCACCTCCCACGAGGGCCTACAATGAGTACAAGACCCTCAGAGCGCAGAACATCCAGCTGTGTCTCCAAGGCAGACCATCGCCAAGCCAAAGTCTGCCTGCCACGGGTATGGGTTCACTTCAACCCTGGATGATCTTGCTCAATATATCATCTAAAAAAAATATTGTTCTTCCTCTTTGGTTTCTTCTAAGTAAAAATCCCTCAGAGCAAAGTCAGGAGAACAAAATTCTCTTCCTGCATTTAACATTTGGGCACCCTCAGGCAAGCTGTCTGAGCCCTCTGAGCCACTATTTTCTCATCTACAGGTTGGAGATAGTAACTGACTTCTCTGCCCTACAAGGGAAAGTTATGACGATCCCATCAGATAATGTAAAATCTTTTCTAAATTGTAGAGATAACATATGACTATCCTTAGAGTATTTACAAAGACCAAAGAGGACATATATTTAAAAGACGGTCCTTTATTAAGCTCCTATATCTTAAGAGGGACTTAGTGCTGTGGCGCTGTACTTCCTGGCTTGAAGGTCTAGTGGAGGAATCTAGAAACTCAAAGCATAGCAGCAAACCAAGTGGAAACGTCATCAGACAGAACACTGATTTTCTGCTTCTCTCTACTCCTTATTCATTAAAAGAATCATTTTAAAGGGGAAGATGGGGGAAGTCTCTTCAACTTAGTCCTGAAAAGAGTTTGTATTGCAAAGTTCCTAAAAACTGAAACTTTAAATACACATTCAAATGAATATATCATATACCTGACATAAAGACATTGAAATTTTACTGTTGCACGATCCTGCAAGCACTCCACATGTTTACTTTCATAAATCCTAGAGTAATGCTGAAGCCTTTTTGGCTTAAATTTTACTTGGGTTGTAAAATTAACCCAACTTTTATTGGGTAACTAATACCATAAACCTAAGGGGAGAAAGAAGGTTCTTGATGACCTAGGCTTGGATCTTGGAAGCCTAAGTGCAGAGACCAGGATACACCCCCATGCCACCCCCCTGCTATTACAGATGATGCTGTTCTATCCCCAGGCATTAGCAGAGCCCTGGATTTTTAAGGTGTCATTATGAGAACACTTCTTTCTCCTCCACATTAAACTCTCAAGGCTTCAATTTATATCTCTTGGGAGGACAAAACCCTGGAATTACCCCCAGATATAAATCCCCAACCTACTGGGAGTTCCCATATTTTATGTGTGAGGCTTAGGCTAAACTTCTTACCACCTTTCCAGTTCAAGACTCTTAAAAAGACTCTTTGAATGCTTTTTTTCAGAATAAAATGGAATGCAATTCCTTGGCTGCACATTTCTTATCAAGAGCTTAGAGTTGCAGGTGTACTAAATTTTTTACTATTCCCAGAATTCCTACTATCCTGGTCAGGCTCTCTAGAGAGATTTTTTTTAAAAAAGAACACACACACACACAAACCCAAACCACTATGTACTGTTATCTGCTGGGAAGTGGTTCTCAGTCTTGGCGCCTTATAAGATTCACCTTGGCAGTATTTTGGGAGGCCGAGGTGGGCAGATCATCTGAGGTCAGGAGTTCGAGACCAGCCTGGTCAACATGGTAAAACCATATCTCTACTAAAAATACAAAAATTAGTTGGGCATGGTGGCAGGTGCCTGAAATCCCAGCTACTCAGGAGGCTGAGATAGGAGAATCGCTTGAACCCAGAAGGCAGAGGTTGCAGTGAACCAAGATCATGCCACTGTGCTCCAGCCTGGATGACAGAGCGAGACTCCATCTCAAAAAAAAAAAAAAAGAATCAAAGAATCTCTTTGGGAAGCTTTTGGAAATACCAATGCCAAGGCCCCACCTTAGACCTATTAAATCATAGTCTCTGTGGATGAGGCTTAGGTACCCCTGCTTAAAGAAACCTATCAGGTGATGTAATTGTGGTTGAGAATCACAGCACTAAAAAAACCAAATGTGTATTAAGTCTCTGCTGTCCTGGGCTGGGTGTACTATGCCAGGTGTTTTCCTCAAAGCAGCCCCTGATGAGCTTTCATCCTTACTTTAGAGAGGGAGAAACTCAAGTTCAGAGAAGTTCAGTAACTTGCTCAAATTCACAAAGCCAGTCAGTGGTGGAGCTAGGATTTAAATTGAACCTCAAGGCCAGGCCACTATCCCATGTTGTTAGGGCTGTAACTATGTTCTGCTGTTCAGCACTACTCTTAGTTAAATCAGCCTGATCAAGAAAGAGACCTTATAATGAGTCTTAATTCTGTACCAGGTACTGCCAAGTTTTATATCCTTGTAAAACAGATACTAAGTCATCTAATCCCAACAACAATCTTAGAAAGAAGGTAAAGATGTAATTATTCCCATTTTACAGATATGAAAAGTGAGAGTCAGAAAGCATAAAGAACTATCCAAAGTTAGACAGCAAGTAGAAGAGCTAGATTTGCCCCAAATAGTGTTTCTAACCACACTCTATAGCTTCTTTCCAAGTGGTTTGGCGAGGGAGTTTTTGCACTGCTTACAGGGGCTTTCTTTCTGAGAAGCAGCTTTGGTGTATGCTGGGTGGTAAACGGTTTTCTTTTAAATATAAAGTCACAATCACTTTTCATTCCTTTCCATTTTTCCCCACTGGCTTTGGCTGGAGGGAAACAAATGCTCCTCCAGCATTAATTAGCTTTATGCTTTTTTCTAGCTTACACTTCTTTCATCATTAATGTCTTCCTGCCTCACTCCATGCTCAGCAAATTAAAAACATGAAGCAAGAGGCAAGACAGCAAAAGTGCAAGGGCACTTGCAATGAGCGTGCCCGAGGCTGCATTCAATGAAGAAAAGTGCACTGTGAAAGGGCAAATGGAAGTTGGCCATTCATCACAGTGCTGGCACCAGCATGCACTGGCTACCTCACCATGATGTCAAGGTGCAGGGGTGCTTTGTGATGGGAACTCATGGTTCTCAGGAAGGTAATTGAGTTACCACGGTGCCAGCCTCTACAACCTTCCGTAGTCCCTGCCATGGGCTTGGGAAATGCAAATGCAGTCTGTACTCCAGCTCTGGGTCTCCCCCTTCCCCAGGGCAAGGAGCTTATGAAGGGTACTTAAAGAATGCTAAGAGGGATTGTGGAACAGTGCAGCAGCAAAAGGAGTACCCATCTAGGAAGCACTGCAGAGCAAGGAAAGAAAACGCTGTTATTGCAGAGACTTCATAATCTAGTTGTTACCAGTTTTTCCCGCTTCCTTCCCTGCCAGTCGTGCCTACAAGCCCGACGATATTAGTCATGGGGATGATCTTGCTAGTCTCAAACCACAGGATGCACATTGATATTGACATGGCTTGGCCCCTGCTCATCCTGAGGCCTGGCATGTCCTGGACCCGCTTGTTCACCTTGTGAATGTTCTCATCTTTAAGATCCAAATGCCCCTATCTTCCCCAGAAAGTTAGTTGCTCGCTTAACCCCACTCATTCCCAGTGCTTTCATCAAATCATTCCACAGATTTCCAATTTCGTATAATATTTTATCTGTTTAGTGCCTATTTTGCCACTGACCAGCCAACAGAACTAGAAAAGATGAAGAGACTGTCACAGGCTAGCCCACCAATATGGACCCTTTTCCATATCAGAAGTATCCTCTAAATTAGAAGTCATTTTCTTCCTCATCAGAATATAGAGGGCATGGATAGACATAGCTGAACTGATCAGTACTGACAAATTTGGCCCTAAAATGTTCTTTTAGGGGATAATTTCAGCTAAAATGCCTACCTCTTTATTTTTTATTTTTGAGATGGAGTCTTGATCCCATTGCACAGGCTGCAGTCCAGTGGCATGATCTCGGCTCACTACAACCTCCATCTCCCAGGTTCAGGTGATTGTCCTTCCTCAGCTCCCTGAGTAGATGTGATTACAGGCCTGTGCTACCACGTCCAGCTAATTTTTGTATTTTTAGTAGAGACTGGGTTTCACCATGTTGGCCAGGCTGGTCTCGAACTCCTGACCTCAGATGATCCACCTGCCTCGGCCTCCCAAAGTGCTAGGATTACAGGCGTAAGCCACCACACCCATCCTTCTACCTCTTCTTAATGGGAAGAAAATGATGTAGAGGGACTTTACTAATTGTAAAATCTCACTTAAACCAAAGAATTGAAAACAGGTACTCAAACACACACTTGTACACAAATGTGCAGAACAGCACTAT